ATTTCGTCGCTTGGCGCGAGTGCGCCTGCACTCAAAAGCACAATCCGCGATGACATCTAATGTCAATGACCGCGCTACAGCTGTAAAGGTAAATGCAGAAATGCAAGCCCAGCTTAACGTTGTGATGGCAAATAGGCAAGCCTCCATCATGCCAATAAACTCAAAAATAGATATCGCCTCCGTGCAAGGCATCACTAACAACAAAAACACGAAACGTAAACAGCCAAATTCACCAAAAACCATCAAGAAAAGGCTCATCTTCGACGAACCAAGCACCAGCAATGCAGCATTAATATCAGAAAATCGATTTTCACTGCTCGTAGAAGAAGATGAAGACTACAGCGAATCACCTGTAGCTCCAGAAGCCCCAGTATTGACCGACCAGCAAACTACACCGAAACCTCGTCCGCCCCCCATATGGTGTCCAAACATCAAGTCTGTGGCCCTACTTCAACAGATAATAGATAAAGTAATTGATGCTAAATCATACGTAATTAAGCCAAAGAAGAATAACATAGGTGTATTAACCCAATGCAGTGAGGACTATCGCAGAGTTATAGACCACTTTACTAAGCTGGAATTGGAGTTCCACTGCTACCAGCTTAAGGAGGACAAACCATATAGAGTCGTGTTCAAAGGGCTTCACTCCAGCACTGATACAACACTAATTAAAAAGGAATTGGAAACCAAAGGCCACACAATTACAAATGTGCACAACCCACTGAGCCGTATGGACAAAACACCGCTAAATATATTTTTTGTTGACGTGGCTCAGGCCCCCAACAACAAAGAAATTTTGGACATTCGAGTTGTCTGCAGGCAACGCTGCACAGTGGAACTGCCAAGAAGATACAACGACCTGACACAATGCCATCGCTGTCAAGAATTTGGACACACACAACGCTACTGCCACAAAGCTCCCAGATGTGTGCGTTGCGCCGGGAAACACGCATCCAAAGACTGCACCCGCGAAAAGGACCAGGCACCAACTTGTGTGCACTGTGAGTTACAGCACCCAGCCAACTATAAGGGCTGCCAAGTATACAAGCGGTTGCGCAAATTGCAATCCCCAGCACAAAAAAGGAGTCCCACACAAACACCGTCTACGGGTCCGAGTACTGCTTCCGAAATTACAAGGCCCCGGAGCATTACCCAAGCCACGAGCTTTGCAACGCCTATTAGTGGTGTTTCTTACGCACAGGCCGCTAGAGGTGGACCGTCAAATAAGAATACCACAAGTGACACTTTGTTCACTGAAATGCTTCAGCAACAACAACGTCAGTTTGACGCAATTAATGCCGAGCTCAAAGCGATGCGAGAAGTACAATCCCAACAAGCAACCATGCTAAACAGTTTAATGGCCATCATAACCAAGCTTGCCTACAAATAATGGCTTTACGTGTGGGTATCTGGAACGCCAATGGCCTGAGAAACAAGACTCAGGAACTGGCTGCGTTTCTCTCACAAGAAAACATAGATATAATGTTAATAACAGAAACTCATGAGTGCCCCACTACACAAATTTTCGGATACGAACACTATCAGGCTCATGGTGAAGGAGCAAACTGCTTTGGTGGATCCTCAATCCTCATACGAGCAACAATACCGCATACACCTTTACTGCCAATTTGCAACGCAACAATGCAGGTCTCAGCCATCACCCTGCCTACGTCTATTGGAGCGATCGAAGTTGCGTCAATTTATCTTCCGCCAAACACTGGTCTGTGTGATCATCACATGGAACAGGTTCTAGGCCAAAGGTTGAATAAGACCCTCATCGGCGGCGACTGGAATGGATGGCACCCATTTTGGGGAAGCAATAGTGCGAATCGTCGCGGAGAAGTCATATTTGAGGCGATTCAAAACTTACAATTCAGCATATTGGCGACTGGAGCCCCCACCCGTTACCCAATTAATGGACACAGGCCCTCGGCAATCGACTTCGCTGTCTACAAAGGCATCTGTGACCGGCAATTGACCATTGAAGAATCCTTGGACCTATCCTCTGACCACCTGCCACTAATAGTCACAATCCACGCGCAGCCACAGCCCTTGCCCATTAGGAAACAACTACTGCCAGCAGGATCAGATTTAGGAGTCTTTAGGCGCGAGCTCCATTACTCTTTGCACATAGAAATGGAACTTAACACTCCTGAAGACGTGGACTACGCAGCAAACAAACTGCAGGAAGAAATAGTCAAAGCTGCGCACCAAGCCGCCCCACCATCTTGCCAAACAAGACAACAGTCTCCGTACAACATCCCCCTCACCTTGGAGGCCCAACACCTACTAATACACAAAAGATGGGCCAGGAGACGCTGGTTAAGATTACGCACGCCTGATGCCAAATCCATGTACAACGAAGCCACGAGGCATCTTAAAGCTGCTCTCGCCCTGCTTCAAAAGAGGTGTATCAGCGATGCGCTGGTACGAGCTGAATCGCCCACTGACGCAGAGTTTCAATTATGGAAATTTACAAGAAAGCTCAAACGGCAGCCAACACGTCGTCATCCCATTCGGAGCATTTCTGGTTCCTGGCACATTGGAGACGAAGCTCAAGCTGAGGCTTTTGCAAACCACCTTCAAGACCAATTCACGCCGGTGATTACCGCAGAGGCCTCAGAAATCGAAGCAACAGAAGACATCGTTCTCTCGCCCCTCCCAGCTGAAGACCAGATAACTGGATGTACAAAAGAAGAGGTTCTTGAACACATCAGAAGAGTGAAGGCAAAAAATCCCCTGGATATGATCTAATAAACGGCAGAGTCCTTAGAGCACTGCCTGACTCCACCATAGACTACATAACTATGGTGTACAACGCCATGCTCCGCATCCGGCACTTTCCAGCCTGCTGGAAGCGCGCCGTGATTGTGATGATTCCTAAGCCTGGCAAACCCGTGGGAGAAATTGAGTCGTACAGACCAATTAGCCTGTTGCCAGTACTCTCCAAAATATTCGAAAGAATATTTCTGGAACGAGTACTGACACATCTGGGACGCCAGGAGGCCATTCCAAACCATCAGTTTGGCTTCAGGAGACAGCATGGAACACCGGAACAGGTTCACAGAGTTGTGCACCATATCCTTGGAGCCTTTGAAGAAAAGATGTACTGCTCTGCCGTCTTTTTAGACATCAAACAGGCGTTTGATCGAGTTTGGCACCTGGGACTGCTGCAGAAAGTGAGGACCACCCTTCCAGCCCCATTTTTCGCGTTGCTATCCTCATACCTTATTGGAAGAACCTTCCAAGTGTCAAGGGGGCAAGCAGTATCCTTGACTAGACCAATTATGGCTGGAGTACCACAGGGTAGTGTTCTAGGCCCAACACTTTATACTTTATTCACAGGAGATATGCCAACTCCCGAGCCAAATATAGGAAGTACAGATGCAGTACTCATAGCGACCTATGCAGATGACACCGCCATCTTATCACGTCACGTATCTGCGCAAGAAGCTTCAGACTCACTACAAAAATATCTGGACTCTTTCGGACGCTGGGCAAAACGGTGGTGTATCACCATTAATGCACAAAAGTCTGTACATACTACCTTCGCCACTAGAAGAGGAGATTGCCCAAGCGTTGCATTGGGGCCCACTATTCCCAAAGCCTCAAAAGTAAAGTACCTTGGTATCACTCTTGACAGAAGGCTGACTTTTAAAGCGCACATAAGTCAAGTAACCTCAAAATGCAAAAGCAAGCTAAAAACCCTCGACTGGATGCTGAGAGCTTCAAGCAAGTTGTCTTACAGCAGCAAGGCCGCCATCTACAAGGCAATAGTTGTCCCAACCTTCGTATATGGTATCTCTCTATGGGGCTCCTCGGCGAAGACTACAAGGAACAAAATTCAGACCCTGCAGAATAAAGCACTACGCAGATGGACTGGAGCCAGCTGGTTTGTAAGAAACTCAGTCTTACATAGGGATTTAGCAATTCCCACAGTTGCTGAACTCATTGGGCGACACAGTTCAAGATACGCGGACAGACTTGCAGCGCATCCTAACCATCTCGCAAGCAACCTGGCTATAAACAACAATAGGCGAAGACTGAAGAGATTGCATCCTCTAGACAATATTAGAACTAATTAAGATAGTAGCTACAAGTGCAGAATAATTGGCATATCTGCCCTCCCATTAGTTAAGGTTTAGAGCTAAATGCGCTATAGAGTCTAAGACAATAAGCTGCAACAAAATAAAGAAATAAAAAAAAAAAAAAAAAAAAAAAAAAAAAAAAAAAAAAAAAAAAAAAAAAAAAAAATGTTGTGGCAGCATTTTTTGTTGTTTGTTTGCTTTGAGACGTGGCATAAGCCGCGCTGCTTAGTTTTAAAAACTTATTTTAATGTTGCCATTACCATGTTGTTGTTGTTGTTGTTGTTGAGAGGGGCCTTTTGCGATTTGGGCAGCTGTTGTACAGCTCGACAGCGACCCTTAATACATTTAAATTGCTCTGGTGTGGCACTCCTTTGTCAATGTAACGCCATGGTCCGAAAATGCAGTCGCTGCGCTGCAGCAGCCCAAGCAGCAGCTAATGCCAGCTGCACGACTAACAGTTACCCTGTAGTCTTTGAAATTTTTGCTCAGATGCGATGAGTTTTAGATGTGCGAAAGCGGGACAGAGCTATTTGTTTCTCTAGAAGTCAGATATATTGTCTTAACCTATTGTCTCAACATTTTCATAGAGAATACATCTATCTGATATTTATCCTCAGTCGCTTTCGAAGATGCACTGCATCTGAACTGGTTTGTGAGGGACTCAGTGCTACATAGAAATCCTGCACTGCGTGCAGTTGAACAGAGCTGCAGTGATCCATTTCATATACATATATTTATATATCTATATATATATTTACATCGATTATAATTGCATTCTACAGTTTTACCCACTCGCCATTGAAACAAACGAAATCTTTTCAAGAAACTAAGAATTTCATATTCAAATCATATTCTTAAGCATATTCATAAAAACTATAAATTTAAAGCGAATTCAAATTTCCAATTAATGGATGCTCTAGTGCTTCCGTGGCAAAGAGGCGGGATGGACATCAGGTGAAATGGCTCGTGTGATGGATGGTAGCTTTCGACAACTCCGGCCTGATGTGTCCACATGCGGAGCTTTATGACAAAGGATCTTAACAGAGTAACGGAGTACCTAAAGAACAGCTGAAATGCATATTTATACACATATGTATATATATATATACATATATATGTGTAGATATATATATATATCTATATCTATATACACATATGTATATATACGCATCCTAACATTTAGCAACTGGAAACAAGTGGGCTTGAGAATGCAACTGCAACTGGGTAAAACTACAACGAAACGTATAACTGAACGAAAGGTTAGACGCGACGCTTCAGCTGGCGCAACAGGCTCTGGCAACGCCTTAGCCATTGTCGCGTATCCTGCAGGAGGACGCTCGGACTGCGGGCCATGTTGTGCGGCGGCATTGGCAGCATGGCCTCATCCGGCATCAGCTGCGGACCCTCGTAGGTCTCCACGACGGCGCGACGCTCGCGGGTAGCCGGTGAACGCACCGACGACCCCGATCCTGATGCCGATCCCATGGGACTCATGCGTTGCTCCTTTGGTTTATTCATCTATCAAATGGAACATATTAAGTCGGGTCTTCACAATCGATATAGGATACACGAGCAATGCCTATCCCTATATATTTATCTGATTAACTCAATAATTTCTCTTCTAATCGATTTACCTTTACCCTGCTTCCATCCATCTACCTCTTCTTCCATCCATCCACCCATGTCTAGACCCATTCTTCTACTTTTTACCTTTCAATCAATCTATATTCCTTTCTCTCTTTCTATCTATTTATCTATCTATCATTCATCAAAGTTCTTATATCTATAAAGCTAAGTTCAACAAAATTTATTGTTCTTAATACTCACCGCGTAAAAATGATTTTAGTTATTTAATATTTATTATTTATTACTTTAAAAATATATTTTAAGAATTGACAAAAGCAGGAAGTATTTTTTGTAAATTCTTTGAACTGTTTGCTAGACGTATTAAAAGTGATATGAGAGTGTCTGTAGAACGATAGAGCCCAGCCAGACGTAAACCTCAACGGGGCCTACTGAGCTCAATAGGAATTTAGGATAAAGGGCGATGATAGGGGTAGAGGTAGGGGTAGGGCAAGAGTTAGGGGTAGAGCTAAAGCTAAATATATTTTTAAGTTTCTTCTTCTCTCATTTTTTGAAAGATCATATCACTTATATGTGATGGAATGTGCAACCTTTTGTGCAAGAATCAACATAACCAAACGAAACTGCTGGGAGCTTTTCCGTTTTGTTTGTGGAATACATTTAGATAGGTTTGCTTTGGTTAGGTCTTGTTGTTGGCCACGGCACAAACAGAGACAGCGACGTAGCAGGTTTCAGGTGCAGGCCGCCTAATGTATTTCTAACATGGCAAAAAGTGCGTCCGGCATGAAATGGAGCCAGGGCTGGGGCGGGGGTGCTGGGTCTGGGCCCGAGTCCGGCCGATTTGTTGACACAGCTTTGCCGCAAAAACATTGGCGGGCCCCGGTTTAATGAAATGAAAAGCCAAACGCGCGACCGCGAAAATCAAACAACAATAAAAAATAAAGAGTATAACCAAGGGAAAGCTGTGGGTGGCTCTGCCCCGCTCTCGGGCTCTGTGTGTGTGGAATATGAAACGCAGCAGTGTGAACCGTTTGGCAAAACGCCGTGGCAGCATAAAAAATAGTAGTTAAACCCAATTTGTAATTTGTTTGGGCAAATCGCGCGAGCGGCGATAAAAGACAACAACAACAACAACAGCAACAGCAGCAGCAGCAGCAGCAGCAACAACGACTGCTAAACGCCGTCACAATGCTAAAAAGAGCCGCGGCCGTTGAATCCTTTTTCACACTAATACACATAGAAGTCAACACCTGTGTGTGTATGTGTGTGTGTGTGCAGCTGTGCGTGTCTCTCTCTCTCCTTCTCTCTCTGTGTGTGTGTGTGTGTGCTGGCCGCGATGAGAAACGTGCCGATGCATAATCATTGAGGCCATTATCATTTATTTTACTCAAAGGCTGCGTTGTTGTTGTCCCGTTGCCACCTGCGCTGGAAAAATCAAAAACACACGCACCAACAACAACACCAACAACAACAACAACAACAACAATAACAACATCACAACAGCTTTGACTGTCGGTTGTTCTCTTGGCTAAGCCACTAGGCACTAATGCAGCAGGTGATGCCAACCTCTCAGTTCTACCCTTTTTATCTATGTGTGTTAGTGTTGGTGTGTGTGTGTGTGTGCGTCTGTATGCATGTGTTTGTGTGTGTGTCTGCATTGGTTGTACAGTGCTTTAGTTGGCTAAAAGCTGAAATATTGAGCACACTTAAAAGCATTAGATGCATTCGAAGGCGAGGCATTTAAGTGCAGTATTTTTTAAATACCACACAATAAATACAAATTCCTAAGTTCATAAGTGTCAATCGTTTATGCTATATAAAAAAGTTCTTTTACCTTAACACTTCCAATTTAATGGCTTATTTAGAAGGCACGCGCAATCTGAAAGATCAGTATTTTTCTTAGTATAATTTCTAATTTAGATATACTAAAGCATGGGTATCTAGCTTTCACTGAGTTTAGCTAAGATTTTTTGGCATTTAGATATTTATGCAGTATATTTTTCATACTAAACAAATAAAAATTGTTTTTTAACAAAATTTAACAAAATAATAACATAAAAAATAAGAAAATAAATTTCAAACGTTATGTTCTTAACACTATCAAAATACCCAATTATTTAAGAACTTTCAGTATTTTTAACAAAATAAAAATACTAAAAATACTAACTGTTATACAATTAATTATATAATATTATAATATAATATGTGCCTATTTTATATACAAGTCGCTCGCTTACAAACGTTTAAGAACGCCGTCCAAAGCGGAATAAAAAGTTGGCAGCATAATTGAGCTCTGGATGCGAGCGCTGGTCTATCAAAATGGCGTAAGCCCAGATTCGAGAGTGTATTATGGGGCCCAAATGTGCCAACGATTAACAAATGACCCAACAACAACAATTGGCACAAAAACGCGGACACAGCCAGCGCAAACAGTGTCCGCCACAAAATTTACGGCCCAATGAGGGAGAGACAGAGAGAGAGAGTGAGAGTGAGTGAGAGAGGAGCAGGGCAAGAGGTAGCTTTGCCCACCCACTCTGCAGCTCTGCTCGCGCATATTTGTTCGCGCTTTTTGCCTATTTGCTTAGGTCAACTATAAAAATAGCGCTGAGAAATTTAACTATGAACAAATAGTGCATGAATTCAGGTATTTAGCTTATCTTAGCTTGCTCAAAAAACAAAAAAAAAAAAAATAGAAGAAAATGCCAAGAGTTCTTAAAGAGAAAAGAGCTGAGTGGACAATAAACTGATATAGCTAGGAATACTATAAATTATGGGAAATATATTTTCAAGGAAGCTTTGTAGTATTTATCGATTATTATCGTTCATAAGGAATGAAACTTATCGAAGAGAAAAATAATGATAGACTCTCATTGCGTACAAAAGTTTTTGGTCTTAACTCGATGAACAGACAAACATGAATATATAGACTCATCAACCACATGAAAAGGTAATTTTATCGATCGAAATGATTTAGAATAGAATGTAAGGAATATAATTACGAAAAATGAATGAGAATTGATTAGTGTCTCACAATTTCAGAGAGAAGCAATTAATAATCGTCTGCTCATAGAAATAGTAGTGCTGGATGAAAGGAGATGAAAAAATTAATAACAACTGTAACAGTAACAACTGTAATTTAAAAAAAATTTATCAACTATAAGTGGAACTTATTAAATAATATTTTACTTATTGAAATTTATTGGAATTTCAATTTATTTTTTTCATTTTTCGTCGTTGATCCAAGCAACAATTTTAATTGGACAGAAGTCCCTGACATAAATATTCAGACTCAGCTGGCTGTTTTGATTAAGTGTATATATATTCTATGGGGCCTGCCACGCCTCCTTTCGCCTGTTACATACATTTTCACAAAATCAATATACCCTAAATACACATTTTCAATGGGTATAAACAGCATGAAGAAATCTTTGCTATAAACTCTTGAAGTATTTGAATGAAATATATTCAGTAAACTTCTTCATTATTGCTAACGATCTGAAAGGAATATACTCTATATATATATTCCCCTACGGACTTTCTTGTAGAGCATACAAAACGCGCATTGGCGCCATTTGGCGTTCATAAATCAGGTGGTAAATGATGGCAAATGGAAATGCCAAGATATTATAAAAATTATGGCAATAAAGTGTTGGCGGACGTAAAGAATTGTGTCCGTTCAGCTTCAGCTGCCTTTTTTCATTAGCTACGTGAATATAACTTTCATATAAATTCATAAATTAATTAATTAGGCTGGCGCTGAGATGCGGCAGGTAGCCTTCGACCAGGTACATAGCGATGAGTAGCTTCTCATGCCCGAAGATAAGTTCAACATTGAATAAGCATTAAGCGAATTGTTAGATATTGCTAAATGTGGCTGGGGCTGTGGGCAGGGGCGAGTCCTGGGCATGGTGATGGGGCCAAAAGGGTTCTGACAGCTCGCCAACTTGCACAGCGCGCATTCAAGGCAAAGGTATTACAAATATTATACCAACCCACTGCCTCGTAAAAGTTTATAATTCTTAATTACCACGAATGACAGCTGAGAGAGAGAGAGGGAAAGAATTAAATGAAAAAAAGTATATATATAAGTGAATGCTGTAATTATTAAGGCTTATTTATTGAGAGAAGCCAAAAGGCTTATTAAAAGAGTTGACATTTTGCAAGTTAAAAGCCCCTGACGTATACGTAATATTCTGATGATTTGACAGGACAACAACATCTATGAAAATCTATTAACCAAGACTTAAAGTTTTACTATATTTGTGTCTGATATAAGTATACGACTTCTATCTCAGAATTCTGAGATAAGTTTGAAGCGTAAAAAAATGAGTTTTTGGCTTCATTTAAGAGTCGATGGCTCAAGAAGAATTTTATACTCTGGTTTCAAATTCGAACTCAGCACTAAATTTGATTTGATATGTGATTTGACAGGAAGCAGCAGCATCGCGCTGTCTTCTCAAAGCTTATTTCTTGCGTTCTTTGTGCTTCAAATTTTATCTATAAAATTTTACTCAGTTTTGTAGCGAGAAGCAATGTTGAGTAATATTTCGCCTTTATTCAGTTTCCTTTAGCTTAGTTTCTTTGCACATGGCAGCTGATGTCATGTGTCTTTATATTATGTTTCTGTACTAACTTATCGTTTGCTTCTTTATTGCATTTAATGCTGCTTCTCGCTTTGTCTGCTTCATTTGCCATTTTCTTCATCTCGGATAGTCGCATCGGCTTGTGCTTTGCTTCTTGCATTACTTCATGTGCTTATGCCCTGCACTTCTTACTTTCTTCTCCCTTTGCATTGAGTCGTTTTCCGATATGAATGAATTTCGGGCCCTGAAGCTTGTGCCGCAGTTTACTTATTATGCATTCATGGAAACAGCGCACTTAAACAGTTTTTTCTTTCAAGTGGTTTTCCAACATCAATCTAATGTTTTGTGGGCGGTTGCAAGCAGGAAAAAAATGTGAAAAACTGAAAGAGGAAAAGATGCAACGCACACATAAATTTTATAGTCATTTGCGCATTTAATTAAAATTATGATAAAAGCATGCAAAATATTTTTACAACCGCATATACGAAGACTTATGTGCCATTGCACTGATACATATGTAGGGCTATATATATGCATGTGTGTGTTTGTGTGCAGACAAATATATATAAGCCATATAGGAAAAAAAAGGGACAACATGGAAACGGATAAATGGGTGTATGTGTGTGCGTGTGTGTGAGGCAGAAGCGCAAGAAAAAAAGGGAATTAAAATAAAAATTGCTCATAGCAAAAATCTTGCGC